GTAAATATGGTGGCGCCGCCCAATTTGGATAGGACTTCGTCCACTGTAGGCATAGGATAATGATGACGTTTTATGGCAGTGTTCAAATCTTTAGGGTAAAGACAGATACGTAACTGGCCATTGTCCTTTTCTACAACTACCATGGAGCTGACCCAATCGGTTGGTTCGTCAACTTTCTCTATGACATCAAGCTTGCACATGCGTTTTAACACAGCTTTGAGACGTTCCATAAGTGATATTGGAATCTTTCGAGGTGGATGAACTACTGGCGTTACATTGGGGTCAATGCTAATGTGATGTTCACCCTTTAGGCATCCAAGTTCTCCAAAAACATCTTTGTACTCTTGTATGAAGTTTGGTGTTTTAGCATTTACGGTCCAAACTCGCTTTATAAGATTGAGGTCGATGCTGGTTTGTAACCCAATTAGTGGCGGTGAAGTAGTAATTGCAACAACAAACGGTATTGCGTGGGTTTGATTGTTATGTTGAATGTCTAGCGTGCATTTTCCAACCACTGGAATGTTCATTCCGTTATATGCTGTCAACGTTGTATTAGTTTTCTCACTATATGGTCTAGTTGCTAGTTTCTCAATTGTTCCCATTGGTATGACGTTAGCCTGAGCTCCAGTGTCAATTTTGAACCGCGTGACACTTTCATTTGATCGCAGAGAGATAATCCAGTCACGATTTCCATCTTGCCTAATATTAGCCGTATTGACGGAGTTGTCTGTCACTTCCGTTGAGAGAGTTCCTATGAAAATGTTATTGGCATCGCTTGCGATCTCGTAATCGTGACCTTCATGACCTTCCGTGGTATAATGTACGCTGCGGGACGTAGATAAGCAAACAGAGGCAAAGTGATTCAATTTATGACACTTTGAGCATGTTTTCCCATATGCAGGACATTTTCCTCGTTGGTGAATTTCGCCACAGTATTTACAATTACTGCGAGCTTGCAAAGATGCTGAAGTATATGCGCTTTGTTGTCGTGGGCGCCTTGTATTGTTAGATTTCGTGCGTAGTTCGTCGACATTGTTCTGGTTTCCGGTGTGTGTTCTGCTTAATGTCATTGCTTGTTTCTTTGTTGCTTCTGATGCCTGACCAATTTTTATTGCGTTTTCTAGAGTCAGAGTCTCCGTCCTTAACAGTCGCTCTCTAAGCGGGTTGTCTGAGACCCCGATTACTATCATGTCTCTGATGAGTGATTCTCTAAGGTCGCCAAATTCACATTGTGCACTTCGTCTCTTTAGCTCGGTGACAAAGGCATCAAATGTCACCACATCATGTTGCTTGTGCGTAAGGAAATTGTGTCGAAGTAGAGTGATATTTTTTCTCGGCTTGCAATATGCTTCAAACTTCTCCAATACTGGCTTCAATTTAAATTTGTCTGCCTCGTCAGAGAACGTAAATGTATTGTAGATCTCTATGCCGTGTTTCCCGATACATGTTAGTAAAATTGACGTCTTGATGTCTTCTGTTTTCTCGTGTGATTCTGTAGCTACCAGATAAAGCTCGAATTGTTGTTTCCATCTATCCCATAAATCTGATAAATTTCCTTCGAATATGAGTGGATCTGGGGTCGAAATTTCTCCATCTGACACCATGTAATGATTGTGCCTCGTGTCTTTATTAGACTGAATTCAGACTACTCAAATTACAAATTAATCAATAACTCATGACAATATCTCCATTGCAACTTTGGTCAGAAGGCATTGTAAAATGTGCAACATAAAGCAACTCAACTTTAAACAACGTACTATCAAGCGATGAAGTTGAATCATATGAAATAGAAGCACGTGATGAAATTGAAAATGTAGCTGGTGTTGTTGTGCCTAAAACCACAATAAATTTCACTGCAGATCAGTTTGCCTATATTACAGCTTTAGCAAGTCAAAACTACAACTTATTTGAAAAAGTTCACACGTAAATGCATGTTGTAAATGCCATTAACGCAATGTTTTAAGAATTTTTAAGCTTACAGAACAATAAACTACTTGCATAGCAAAAATGTTCTTACCTTTATAAAAAAAAATTGTATGATTTTTGTCTATGAGCGCACATAAAGTAATTTATTTCAACTGTAATGTTTTCACGAAAACGCACATTGTAATACTCTATTGAAAATGGTGGTGGTATAAAATATATAATTGCTTTTGAAAAGAAAAGTTCAAACTTTACTCGACATTACTGTACAATTTCATATCCTCTAATACTGTTATATTAAGCATCTACATTACGTAATCCCATTTTAGAATTTTTCTTAGGATGGTGCTTGGAAATTTTTTTTAGGAAGGTGCGCTTCCCCCTGCCACCACCAGATAATCCGTCCTTAGTGATTACGCATGTCCATGCAAGTGAAGAATATACAAAGGCACACAGTAACTATGTGTAAGATTGCTCTGTACAATTCATTTAATATTATACGTAGATAGGCCAGAAAAATTTCAACAATTCGTCAAACAATGTCGACAAATACAGTAAGAATTGGTAACAAAAATTATGTTTGGTTAAAAAAATACATTTGAAACATTGGAAACTCTTTTTAATCAAGTAAAGTATTTGATGCTTTGTAGTAATAACAGTTATCCTAGTAATAGACCTAACTCGGTAATAGCACCTTTGCATCCTCTGTACATTTTTATCAACAGTTAGCAATTGGATTGTTCTACCTTTGAAGATGTTCTTTGCTTTTCTCATATCTGCAACAAGACGAGCATTTTTAAATTTCTTCGGGATAACGACTATAAGAATGATAGCCACGAAGTTGCTCCTTTTACACTTTTTCAAAGATTCCCTGCTTTTGCAATTAATTTCATACTGTGAGGTATATGACGTTCGCGTGTGCAACTGGAGTAACATTACGATACACTTCAAGCTCTACTTCGCAATTCTTTAGATAATTAACTCCATTGAGAAATTTATTATATTTTGAACACTAAGTTAACCAAATTGATGAGTAATTACGTTTTTCACATTTTACAAAGTCCGAGTCGCAGTTCGGTTTTATCGAAAGTTATAATTTAAAGAGCATTTTTGTTTGCGGAGGCCGTGATTAATCGCACAAATCTAACACCATCTGGTTATTATATTGATTTATTTCATTGGCCAAAGCGTATTTTAAACATTCATTACGTCTCTCGTGACTCATTTGTTGTAAAACACCTGGGGGACGAGGACTAATTCGCCACTATACTTTCTATTTGTCAATGATACCAAGGCGCGTTCGCGGTGTTAGCGACCGGGGAGATCATTGATTTGAAATTCAAGTGTAGTGTATTGTATTTGCACCATCATTTTCCAACTGTTCATTGATCTTTATGATGATCGAAAGGTGCAAACGGCGGTAGATCGCTTCAAGTAAGTCCCATGTTCATATAATTTAATGATTGTTGTAGTTGTTGAACTTTGTGGCTGATTCTTTGCTCTGTCGTATAAGCGTTTCTTGTTGATGTATCCATGTCATTTCGTTCTTTTTTAGTCGCCACTTTCGTATATTGATTCTCTTTCTTTTTGTCAATTTAATTTTATTTAGCAAAATATCCTGATTTTACAATCTACATAGCACTAAACCTACATAACACGCTAAATGTACTATAAGCTGTAAGTATTGGCTGTAATTGCTCTTAATACACTATACGACGCATATTTACTCCAAATTGTGATCACATTGTTCTAAGAAGTTTTATATAATAACCAGAAGAATTTAAGCAATTTCATTGTTTCAGAGATATGATCTCTAAGTGAAACGACTCGCAAAATTAACGTCACAGAAAGTTGCTTGTTTATAAATGACAAACGAACGATGATATTATTTAAATATTTACTTGAATTTAACCATGAATAGGCAAATAAAGAAATCAAAAATGCCTACTCAAAGCAGTGGACGTATTTTGAGCAAAAAGAAAAGAAACACACGGTTTTTAAACGTTGATGTGTACTTCGATAACAAAATTTCAAAAAATTGATCAGCCATTGCTGGTTTATTTTGTTAGCCAATCACATTTTATCGCGTGAATAAGCTAGTGAATAGCATTTCTTCAATGGTATAGATCACGTAAGCGTGATATTTGCAAACTGAACACTTTTCAGTGTTCCATGTGTTGCTGGACAAAGAAAAAAACTGTTTAACCATTTACTTTAGGAATTTTTTTATTTTATATTATAAAGCAAATAGATGACAGTTAACCGTCCTCTATACTGTTATAGATGCTTGGGTAAGACATTTTTGGTTAAAACTAATCCTAATGACACGTTGCCACTTTTATAGTTTCATCACAAATGACGTCATATCCTTGTATGTATAACTGTATAGACAACGGTTAGATGTTATCTATTTGATAAACAAAGAAAATAATGAGCATCTCAAATTAAATCAGATTTTTTTTGATAAATCTCTGTTTTATGTATTTCTTTCAATTGATTTATTGACCAGTTAGATTTTTAAAAATTCTCAACAAACTGCGGCTGAAAATTGTTTTGACATTTTAATTGTGCATTAAAACGTTTTCTTATGGAAAGATTGCCAGGATTAGTGTTTAGGAACAACAATATTTCTGTGAGAGTTTTCTTAAGTTTTCTCTACTCGACTTTTCAGCGAATTTTATAAGAAAAAAGTAGGAAGTATACCAGACGACCAGTTAAGACACAAAAAAATTGGTTATATTTTTACGGATATTTTTTGTTGTAAATGTTGTTTAAATTCAATAATAAAAGCTTACCTTGCATTTTCATCTCGTTAAAAGCTAGCCATGTTTTTTGTCCGTTGAGTATCATTTCGTATTGAAGTTGCTGTTTAAGACTGCAATGAACAATAAAGAGATGAAGATTTCATTTTTTAAAAAAAATGTTAATGTACACAATGTGCTGATTGCAATGAACTGAAGAATTCATTTTATAAATACCAACTAACACGATAGTAAATCTCGTAGGACATTGATCGACAACCTAAGGGAGATCCTTCTCATTCAGCTTTTGGTTCATACTTTTTCCAATTTTTTTAGCTTGAGTTTGACTTTATGACTGGTAAGCTAAGAGTTGTGACGGGTCCAAATCACTTATTTGATAAAAAAGCTCAGTCAATTAAAAAGAAAACATTTGCTTCTGATCATGTTGTTGTTACTGAATCTTCGAAGAGTATTGGTATGTTATTTTTTATTTTTGTATATTTTAGTATATATAAGCGTTTTAATGTGTAACCTTTGATGTTTTTGAAATTTCAGACAAAATTTTTAAGTCTTTCATGTTTACAAATCATTAATTCTTCTTGTCTTATGTTTGGATAGATCTGATCAGAAAAGAAAACAATTTTAAAAATGGTTATAAAATCAGTTAAAGCTGTTTCTGGTTAAATTGGCATTCACTTGAAATCATGATATTATTTTAGGCCATTTAACCATTCTGAGCACTTACCTAGTTAAGCTCTCTTATATATAATCCGTTTGTAGAGCCATACTAAAATACATGAAAAAAACTTGTTTCTTAAAGTTTGATGCAAATTGGGAACAACGTAATGCACTTCAACATTTATTTAGAAGCAAAATTATTTTAAATCTCTTTAAAGATATAAATAAAACTGAACTAAGTTAAACTACTAAAGAACAACCACATATGCAACTGAAATTTGTTTTTGGTAAATTGTTCATCGTTTTCTTTCCATCTTATGTTTTATTTACGTATGCTCTAAAAATATCTCAAGTACTCTATTTAAAATTGTTCTTGCTTTTTGTCATAGCAAAAAGGCTGGAACAAGAAAATTGAGCAAAAATTAAAATATAAATAAAAACACCCTTCTATTTTATGCTATGGTTCACTTGCTTTACTTTTATGTCTTTTTTAAAGAAATAAAGTCTGGTGATACTGCTGATGTTGAAAACCCTTCAAATTTACACGTTCATACGGAGAAAATAAAAGGTATGCTTATTTTATTAGAATGTAAATATACAAATTTTGGGCTTTATTACATGAAATCTTTAACGTCAAAAAGAGGGTAATCATGAAATTACTTGGAATCTAGATCAAGTTGATCCATTGACTCTTCAAATATTCTTTAACTTTTGTTTATAGATATTGTTCATTGTTATAAAACTAAGCGGATAGAACTTTTTGCAATCACAGATAATGCAAAACGTTGCAAATTTTGGTGTTATTTTTAGGTTGTAGTATTTCAAATAACACATGTTAATTTATGATATTAAGATACTTTAAAAGACAAGCAATGATTATAACAAATTTTATACACAAAACCCCAAACGTAAAGCACATCCAGAATCTCGCATTTCTTTATTTCTTCCAAAAAAAAAGATACAGTTCTATAGGTAAAAATATGGAAGAAAAAAATTAATTAAATTGTATTCTTTATTGACAATTTTAATATCACAACTATTTCAAATCATATTTAAAAATAATCATTTTGACTACATAAATAATCTATCCCACAACTAACTTTTCGCTGAAACCAAGTAGTTTCCCGCATGTAGTGCGATTCAAATCTTGGAATATGTTTGCTTTACATTTTTTATGCTGCAATTTTTTGTTAACACACAGTATTAAACGTATAACAAATTAAAAAACAATATAAAAACTTAGAAGACATAAGCTTATGAGCAAATTACTTATGTGCATGTTTTTGATCTTAAGACAATAAACACTGGCATGACAACGTTTACGCTTGAACAATTTAGTTAACCAAGTTTTTCATATCTGCACTAGGTTGCATTATTTGCCTTTTTTTACGTTTAAAATATGTAAAGCTCTTTGCAAGCAGTTAATTTAAAAACTGAACAAATTTTTTAAAGGCGAAATTTGATTGTACTTCTTTCTTGCCATGAGGGAGGAACGAACGAGTAGCATGTGTCTGCCCCTAAGATTCCATAATGATGTCCTTTGATATCGTTGAGATGTTGTAACGTACTATATTTGCCTTGAAAATAGACAAACAAGTAGTCCTTATTTTTTACAGGCTGTGTTACTTTGGGTTATATTTGTAGAACGAGGCGTTCCTTTTTTGGATAAATGATATCAAACAGCCCATACACATCTTCACAGCCTTGGTGATTCTAAATAATTATATTGTCAGATTTGATTCATTTTCAAATCACGCACTTAGTCCAGTGAGTAAGACACTGTAGTAATTACTGCACTTGAGTTTCTATGTGAAATTAGATATAAAACTCAACATTCTGTAAAAATCGCTCAACTCTATTTTAGAATCATGACTAGGCAGTGTTATATAAGCATTACATTCCAAGCCATTTCTTAATGTTGTTGTTTTTCACTTTTTAAACACTATATAGTAAAATTGACAATAAATGACACCTGGGATGTTAGATATAATTTTCCTAATATTCCTGCAACTTTCAATTTGCAGAACTTATTTAATTCAGTTATTTTTTGGAATGCTTTGCAAAAATAGTGGCTTTTATAAAATAGGGAGATTGCCATGGATGATCAGTTTTTCAATGTGTTAATTATAAATACAGGTTGCTGACAAATCAGATTGCTGCACGATAATTCCTACTTAGTCAAATGGTTCTAAGAAATGGAATAAGGAAACAGTAAATATTTTGCAAGGGGCTCATATGTTGTTCCGAAAACATTTATTGTTTAAACGACTGTAGCACTAAAGAACACAAAGTCAAATGTAGTAAATATGTGAAGAGTATAAGTTTCCCTGTAACACTTGTGCTTTCATGGAAACACTTTGCATTTTCGTTTTCCTATATCATTCTAATATATTTATGAAATATGACATCGTTATGTGCATTTATTTGCACACCATCAATTGTAATATGTATGGTTTATACACATTGGTGTGTTTAACATTGCAGGGACGTGTTACTTTTACTGTAGTATGATGAGAATATGTTTAGTTGTTGGATAAAATTATCAATAAGAAGAGTTAAGAGACTCTACAGAGAACAGACAGAGTAAAGGCCTGTTCTTTAAAGATCTAAGGAGTTTTCTCGCTGCAAAGTCCATAATGACACTTTATGCAAACATGAACAATTATTCACATCATCAAAGCTATAGAGTCAAATCTTAAACCATGTGCGCCTTACCTTCTTTATATTAAAATATTTTTTATTTACTCACAAGCATTCTTAAAAATGTAAAAATTTATAAAAAACATAAAAACTCAAGAGATATAAATCTTGGGGAAGAAATATTTCGATGCATAATTTTGATCCTAAAATCATAAAAAACAGGGATGACAACTTTGGCGTGTGAAGCAATTTATTTTACCAACATTCCCATTTATGTACTAGGTTGCACTTTATGTTTTATATGCGTGAAATGTGTAAAGGATATAGATGTTAATTTAAAAACTGAATGAGAAGTCTATCTTAAGTCATAAGTTATTTTTCATTCTTTCTTGTTATGAATCAGAAACGAAACGGCCATGGGCCAACTTCGAGAATTGTGATTTTTTATGCGTCCATCAAAGAACCAAAAATTATTTAACCATCGTGTTGCTATAGTAGTACTTATCAACTTGATGATGTATGTCAATAGTTCAATTTGCGCATAAAAGAGAAAAATCGATTATTTTGTCTTGAATATATGATCAGATCAGAGAAATGTGAAATCAATGTTATGTTTTTACCTCTTCAACGCAAATAGAGTCTTTCTCTCAACCAAATAGTTAGCGTTAGGGTGAAAAGTCTTTCACTACACTTGGTAAACAATGGTGAACAACAAAGCTTGTTGAAGTTGCTCACTCGGATGACGAATTTTTTACGTTATGCATATCAAAAATAGTGCTAACTAAAAATTAACATCATTTGACCTTGACTCCTTGGTCTATATTTCCTTTTACTCTTCTAAATGGAGAAAACTTCCATGTATAATAAGGAGAAATGACGTTGGAATCCGCGTTAAATTTTGGGGATAATTTACGACCTTTACGTTGACAATTTATCTTTCGTTGAAAATCTTTGCTATTCAGAATTATTGTTTGGTACTCATACAGGCGCTCTGCAAATTCCATTACGATTGTTGAATCGGTTTTGCATTGTTCAAATGCTAAGAAGAGAACAAAACAGGCCAACAGGCAAGAGAGGGAGAAAAACAAAACGATCGACATATTTTAATTTTTACTTTTGGCGACTTGTAATTCATTATACGTGAGATTATTTGGTGCCATGCAGATCAATTTCAAAGCTTCATTTACTTTCAATTTGAGTTTATATCTCGAAATTTGCTTCAAATACTACTCAGAATAGTAGTGATTCATCGTTGTCTTTTTTGTTCTTATAAGATAAGAAATGAATATTGAATGAATATTTTTGTCAATGTTGCTTCAACCTAACTAGAGCAAATTGTTATTTCAATATTAAACTATAAGTTTGATAGATAGTATCTGAGATGTCGCGTTTGTTTTGTTATGTTACGACATTTGTTGAGCTATGAGTGAATTGTTTTAGTTTTTGAGCTTTGCTGTTTTTTAACTTTTTGAATTGTAATTGGGCTTTCATATCCAAAATTCACAACCGTTTGCAGTGCACATGACAGCTTTGTTGTAGTTGTGAAATATCTTTATAGTTGAGCGTTGTGCTAGAACTGTTTTAGTATACTGTACATGCAGTATGACAAGGCTCCAAATCTATATTCGTATTCCAAGTAATGTAGCAGACAAGAAGGCTTGTGGACAGAAATATAGACGACTATTAGACTCTCAAATTCATAACTTTACACAGTAGATCACGATCACACGGCTGACTTAGCATTTTTATTAACAAACCGAAGTAGAAAAATCAACTTTGAACATGGTATTGATGTTTTATGGTTCAGGCAAGCCGAGAAAAAATGCCATTTTTTGTTTGTTTGTTTATATAATAGTCTAATAATACTCGCCCCGGTGACTCGCGGCAACTTAAGAAACATTTTTGAAGTTTGCATTGATTTTGATGATAAACGTATTGCAATACGCATGTTATCAAAAAATTTAATAATTTCTTCAATAAAAATTAGTGAATATCAACAAAAAGTTTTCGTTTGAAATACGGACCTATTGAGTTTTAGCTTGTTTCTACAGTGAAAAATATCTTTTTCCTGGTTTTTGCAACAGTTGAAAATCAAGCTTATGATTGTTATGACTCATTTGTCACAATATAAGTGACAGGCTGACAGCAGCATAACTAGTTTATGTTTTTGTTGTTTAAGTTCGAGTTCTGGCGTCAGGTTTAATAATTTCTGGCTTATCAATACTTTTTTAACGTCCTATATTACTTTACGTTTTTGAAAAGCTGGTTTTATCTTAAATATCACTTTTTCCAACTCTCACACCAGTCTGTTTTCTTTGAAAGATCTCACATGTTGCAATTATTACAGTTAATGATGATTTGGCCGTATTAATTCCACTGTAGCCGAGACCTTTTAAATAGATTGGCAAGGAAGTTGACGGCTTAATCTGTCCTCAAATTGAAAGAGTTGATTTGTCTTTCTACAATGATTTTTTCCACTTAGCGAAATGTACACAATATGATTTTTTGGCACCTTCTTTCTAAGTTTCCAGAATTACGTCCTTTGCTTTCGTTGAGATTTAATGTTCTATCATTGCCCTGATAATAGAATTACTAGTGGTCTTAAATTTTATGGGCTGTGTTTCTTTAATTTTGGTATACCGCACTCAGTCCAGTGAGTGAAACATTGTAGTAATTACAGCATTTGAGCTTCTATGTGAACTCTAGTAAAAGCTTTTCTTAAAGTTCTGTAGCCACAAATTAACTGTGCTTTATAATCATGACTATGTAGTGTTATTTAAGAATAAAAGTAACAATCACTCTACAGTAGAATAGACAATACATGACCCCAGGGAGGCTTAGTGTAATGTCCCTAATATTTCAGCAACCTCTCGTTTGTTAACCTTATTTAACGCTATTAGATTTTTACAATCCTTTGCAAGAGTAATGGATTTATAATAATTAGGGAGATTGTCATGCATTATCAGTTTTTGATTGGATTAAATCTAAACACAGGTTGCTGACAAATCAGGTTGCTGCACGATAATTCGTACTTAGTCAAATTGTTCTAAGAAATGGAAAAATGAAACAGCAAATCTTTGGCATTGGGCTTATAACTTATTTCGAAAACAATTTATTGCTTAAACGACTGTAGCATTATAGCACACCAAGTCCAATGTAGTAAGTGTGTGAAAAGTATAAGTTTCCCTGTAACATTCGTGCTTTCATGCTAACACTCGGCATTCTTGTTTTCTTATATCATTCTAATAATTTTATAACATACAACACCGTTATGTGCATTACATTTACACACCAGCAATTGTAGTAAGTAGACTTTAGGCTCATTGGTATGCTAAAAACTGCAGGGGCATGTATAGCTCAATGTAGTATGATTAAAATAAGTTAGTTGTGGGGTAAAATTGACAATACGAAGAATAAAAAGACTCTACAGAGGACTGACTCGAGTAATAGCCTATTCTTGAAAAAGCTAAGGAATTTATCTCGCTACAAAGTCATAATGACACATTCATCACATAATATCAAAATGAATTATTGTTTGCATCATTAGTGTTGTAGCGAGAGACCTGTCAGGCGAGATACGGATTCGTGTTAAAAAGACAATTGCCCAACATAAAATTCGAAATAAAGCCATTTTTTTAAAGAAATTATTTAATATTTGTAACGTTTCGTCTTTACACAAGACATCATCAGACAGGTAATTAAAATGATGAAGTGTGCGTTTATATTTACATGTTAGAAGTGTAGTTATAAGTGTTAGATTACAGTAAGGGGTGATGAACATGTTATATATGTATATAAAAATATTGTATAAAATATGAGTGACGATACTGATATGGAGTGTAAAATGGACGCAAAACGTAGTGGGATATTTAGAAAAGTTCGAGTGGGATGGAACTGCCTAGAACATTGAGTGCAGTTGTTAGATTTGAGAACAGGAGACTTTCATGGATCATTAAGTCAGAAAATTAAGGTAAGGATGAGATATTAGTAAAGTCATCAAAGGAAGCTGTGTGACCTGATATGATGATGTGAGATAGGATACTGGATTTGGTATGGTATGATGACTGTTTTCCTGTCAGGGGCAAAATTTCCAGGTGCTCTAAGATTTTGGTTTGAAGATACCATGTGGTTTGACCAACATACGACGCGTTGCAGCGTCGACGCTTAAAGAGATAAACAACACAAGATTTCAGGAACTTGGGAATCTTATCCTTGAAAGGAAAGAAAGAGAAATTGCGTGTAGAAGGACTGATAAAAAATTTAATGATAACGGGGGGAAGGCAGCGTTGCAGAGGCGGTTAATTTTGGTTCGTATTTGGAGAGAGTGTGAGCCTGTGTAGAGAAGGCAGAAAGAGACAAGCTTCTTGGGCACGGTGATAATAGATTGTTTGGGGGAAAAGACGTCGTCAAATAAAAGGCAAACAGTGTTGTCAAAAAAATGAAGAGGGGAAACTATTTGAATCAAAGAGTTTTCGAATTATCTCTAGCTGATTGTGGAAGTTGTCGTAGCATGGGGAGATGTTGAAAGTACGGTGAATAATGATAGAGATAGAGCAGCGTTTGTAGGTGAGAGGAATGATGCTATGAAAGTGGGTGAAATATCCAGTGAACGTGGGTTTCCGGTAAACGGATGTTACGTATTTTCAGTCAGAACATGTGATATCAATGTCTAGAAAGGGGAGATTGTTATTTTGTTCGTTTTAGAAGTGAAAGCTATGTTACGATGTTGTTAGTTGAGAAAATTGAGAAACAGATGTATGTGATCAGGGGAATGAAAAAGAAGAAAGCAGTCATCAACTAAACGTCTCTACAGAAATGGTTTGAAAGATAAAGGGCAGTTATTTAATCTTTATTTTTCGTGATGTGACATAAAGATGGTAACAAAACGTGGTCCTAACGGGTTACCCATTGAAATAACTGTCAAGTTGTTGGTAGACTTGACCGTCAAAGATAAAATGACAGTTTTTTTACAGCTATTGTAAGTAGGTTATGTAGTTGGGAATAAAAAATTGTTGAATGAGGACGTGTTAGAGAATAAGATGTTAAGAATGATATCAATTGTTCCGTCCAAAGGTATGTTAGTTAAGAGTGACTTTACGTCAAAGCTTGCCATCACAACACTACTTGTGTTGATGATGCTTTTTAACAGTTTTTGAACAAATGAAAAAGAGTCTTTGATGATTAAAGAGCTGGTTGTGAGTGGAGTGAGCAGTGGGAGAATGAATTTAGCGATGTTATAAGGATAATGGTTGTTGGATGAGAGTATGGGTCTGAGGGGTATGGTCAATTTATAAAATTTTGAGAGTCCGTATAGAATACCTATTCGAGATGCAGTGGTGTATAGTTCTTCATACGTGTTTTTGTTTACAGAGTTTGACGATAACAGTGTTTTTAATAGCGATTTCATTTGCCTTCACGTTGTAGGGTGATTTTAATCGGATCTTCGTTAAGTAGTTCGAATTTAATTTTGTCGGAAAGAATATCATCCATTTTCTTGTTGTAGTCTTCTTTATTAAGTATTACTAAGCCGTTGCCTTTATCGGGTTTCATGATGGCGATGGTGGTGTCATTTTTCAAGTCGTTGAGACAGTCAATTTCATCTTGTGTATATAGGAAGTTTGGTCGGTTGTAGCTACGATGGCCAGACAGGGCAATGTCTTCCATTTTCTCAACCAACAACATCCTAACATAAGTTTCACTTCTGAAACCAAACAAAATAACAGTCCCTCCAATGTAGGACATTGATATCACACGTTCTGACGAAAAATTCGTGAAATCCGTTTACCGGAAACTCACATTCACTGGACTTTTCACCCACTTTCATAGCTTCATCCCCTTCAAGCTACAAAAACTTCCAAAATCAACTAGAGATGGTTCCAAATTTCTTTGATTCAAATGGTTTCCCCTCTTCATTTTTTTGACAATACTGTTTGCCTTTTCCTTGACGACGTCTTTTCCCACAAGCTATCCATTATCACCGTGCCCATGAAGCTCGTCTATTTCTGTCTTCCCTACACAGGCTCAAACTCTCTCCAAATACGCAACCAACTTAACCGCCTCTGCAACGTTGTCTTACCTCACGTTAACATTGCATTTGTTTTTCGTCCTTCTACACACATCTCCTCTTTCTTTTCCTTTCAAGTATATTATTTCAAGTTCCTGAAATATGGTGTTGCTTATCTCTTTAAGTGTCGACGCTGCAACGCACCGTATGTTGGTCAAACCACACGCCATCTTCAAACCAGAAGTTCAGAGCACCTGGAAATTTCGCCCCTGACAGGAAAACAGTGATCATGCCATACCAAATCCAGCATCCTATCTCACATCAACATATCAGGTCACACAGCTTCCTTTGACGACTTCACTAATATCTCATCCTCACCTTACACTCTTGACTTAATGATCCATGAAAGCTCCTGATCTCGAATCTAACAACTGCACTCAATGTTCTAGGCAGTTCCATCCCACTCAAACTTTTTTAAATATCCCACTGTGTTTTGCGTCCATTTTACACTCCATATCAATATCTTCACTCATACTTTTCATAATATTTTTATAAACATAAATATCATGTTCTTCACACCTAACTGTAATTTAACACTCATAACTGCATTTCTATTATGTAAATATAAACGCACAATTAATCATTTTAATTACCTGTCTGATGATATCTTGTGTAAAGACAAACGTTACAAATAATAAATAATTTCTTTAAAAAAATGGATTTATTTCGAATTTTATGTTGGGCAATCATCAGTGTTGGCTGATAGTTTATAGCTACGTAGTGTATGCAGTTTAAATGATACAAAAAATTACGAATAAATTTTTTCTGTAGCAAAACGCACTTGATAAAACTTCCATGGTAGATCACAAAAATTTGGTGCTAGCATTTTGACACATTACTACTGAAACACTATGATATTGTTATCTATAGTTGTACTAAAATCAACATGACACACCTTTGATGTATTTTAATAAGTCTTATGCTATGTATATCTATATAGTTGATGTAGGATGTCGAACATTTTCTTCCAAACTAAACAATGCTATTAACTTGCTTTTAAATGTGCGTTTTTTGCAGAAGTTAACAAAATTCTGCTAGAGATTGTCGAAGAAATTCCTGATAAATGGAACAATTTGGCAATATTTCTGAATGTTAAAATTGCGAAAATAAAAGAAATTGAATTAAATCATCGTAACGTGATCTGGCAAGGGTTTGAAATGCTAAAGTTTTGGTATGAATCACGAGAAAATAAGCAGTTGTGGTACAAAGAACTTGCCGCTGCTCTTCGCGAGTTCGAGAAAAATAATTTGGCTGAAGACGTTCTTCATAAAGGTAAAAATGTTCCTAAATATTGTCAAACTGAAATTAAAAGGTCATTTGTCCATTTTTTATAATCGTCATTTTCATGTAAATCTCAGAAGCCAACAATGGATTGGTTATATTGATATATAATTTCTCAGTTCTCATTAGTTAATTAAGAGCAGTGCAATTTATTGTAAATACCAGTGGAAAAAAGAAAGAAACACGGTTCATGAAAAAGGAAATACAGTGCAAATTTTTTAAAAAAATTTGCTCCTGATTGGTCTACTAAGAAATGATCTAAGAGCCATTCAAAATAAAACATTTTAAAGGCGTGAAAGTTAAATTAAAATAAGCAAAGCAAATGCAATGGTTGGCGCAAGTTTAAGCAAATTATCTTTAGTGAACGAGCTTATAATTAACCGTTTGCAAGACGTGTTTGGAAAAAAATATGAACACTGCCAAAAGTAGTTACCTTGTTCTAGCTGCATGTGTGAAAGCCGTGATTAATAGCGTAAGTAGAACGTTAATTGGGGGGTTGGGGGGTGCATATTTATATATTCCATTGTGCCCTATTGATTTCTTTTGAAAGTGATTTGAATTTCATCTTATGAAAAATAACATCCAATTTAATTGTAATATACGAGCTAGCCAGAATTTATTGATGTATATTAAGCCCTTAATAACTGAGCTCGAGGTCTTTACGGAGAAATATCGGACCGAGGTCTTTTTGCACCAACCAAGCCGGTAGTAAAGTAAAGATCGTGAAATGTTTATTATATACGGCATTATTTGACATGAAACAAAGCTTGCTTTCTTTCTCGTTCCTACTGTTTTGTAAGGGTTTGCTTTCACTTTTCTAGTTTTTGTCGGTAAGAATAAATCATTTTTATTTTGTATCGTCTGCATATAATTAAACTCTTTTCCGAGGTTTTTCCTTTTACCCAGCAAGCAAAATCACGTTGTCTCAACGTTGTACCAACGTTCTTCGAGCTTCTACTCAGCGTCGGAGACCAACGTTGAGTGAACATTTTTTTGTGAACTCGTAGGAACGTGGTGGCAACGTTAGGATAAACGTTGGGATGTAACGTATTTTCAATCTAAGCCCAACGTTTATAAAACGTTTATACATCGTGTACCTGATCTATATCAGACGTTCATTTAACATATAATTAATGATGCATTATTTGTCAAATCATAAAACAGCCTTTCCAATGTTACGAATTAAAATTTTAAATTTCCATGTAATCAACTTGACTCAAAAATCACTTGATCCTGAACATATTTATGTAGGTACGACTTTAAACAAGCTTGGCGATGTGTACCATCGTACTACAAAATATGACAAATTAAAAGAATTTCACGAAAAAGCGTTGGAAATTCAACAAAAACCACTAGGTCCTGAACATGTTGATGTAGCTATGACTTTAAACATTCTTGGTAATGTGTATTATGATACCAACAAATATGCCAAAGCCAAAGAGTGTTATGAAAAAGCTTTGGAAATTCGAAAAATATCACTTGGTCCTGAACATGTTGATGTAGCTACGACTTTAAACAATCTTGGTAATGTGTACCATCATACTAAAGAATATGCCCAAGCCAAAGAGTGTTATGAAAAAGCGTTAGAAATTCGAAAAATATCACTTGGTCCTGAGCATGTTGATGTAGCTTCGACTTTACACAATCTTGGTAATGTGTACTACCATACTAAAGAATATGTCCAAGCCAAAGAGTGTTATGAAAAAGCGTTGGTAATTCGAAAAATATCACTTAATCCTGAACATGTTGATGTAGCTACGACTTTAAACAATCTTGGTAATGTGTATTATGAGACCAACAAATATGCCAAGGTAAAAGATTGTTATGAAAAAGCGTTGGAAATTCGACAAAAATCACTTAATCCTGAACATGTTGATGTAGCTACGACCTTAAACAATCTTGGTGATGTGCATTATAAGACTAACAAATATGCCAAAGCCAAAGAGTGTTATGAAAAAGCGTTGGAAATTCGACAAAAATCACTTGCTCCTGAGCATGTTGATGTAGCTACGACCTTAAACAATCTTGGTGATGTGCATTATAAGACTAACAAATATGCCAAAGCCAAAGAGTGTTATGAAAAAGCGTTGGAAATTCGACAAAAATCACTTGGTCCTGAGCATGTTGATGTAGCTACGACTTTAAACAGTCTTGGTAATGTGTATTATAATATCAACAAATATGCCAAAGCCAAAGAATGTTATGAGAAAGCTTTGAAAATTCGACAAAAACTCCTTGGTTCTGAAGATGTTGATGTATCTACGATATTAAACAATCTTGGTAATGTGTATTATAAGACAAACAAACATACCAAAGCCGAAAAAAGGTATGAAAAAGCGTTAAAAATTCAAGAAAAATCACTAGGTCAGGAACATGTTGATGTAGCTACCACTTTAAACAGTCTTGGTAATGTGTATTATGATACCAACAAATATTCCAAAGCCAAAGAGTGTTATAAAAAAGCGTTGGAAATTAGACAAAAGTCACTTGGTCCTGAACATGTTGGTGTAGCTTCGACTTTAAACTATCTTGGTAATGTGTATTATAAGACCAGCAAATATGCCAAAGCTAAAGAGTGTTATGAAAAAGCGTTGAAAATGCGACAAAAATCACTTGGTCCTGAGCATGTTGATGTAGCTATGACTTTACACGAGCTTGGCAATGTGTACGATAGTACTAAAGAATATGACAAAGCCAAAGAGTGTTATGAAAACGCGTTGAAAATTCGACAAAAATCACTCGGTCTTGAACATGTTGATGTAGCTTCGACTTTAAACAATCTTGGTAATATGTATTATGAGAACAACGAATATGCCAAAGCCAAAGAGTGTTATGAAAAAGCGCTAGAAATTCGACAAAAAACAATTTGTCCTGAACATGTTGATGTAGCTACGACCTTAAACAATCTTGGTGATGTGCATTATAAGACTAACAAATATGCCAAAGCCAAAGAGTGTTATGAAAAAGCGTTGGAAATTCGACAAAAATCACTTGGTCCTGAACATGTTGATGTAGCTTCGACTTTAGACAATCTTGGTAATGTGTATTATGATACCAACCTAAATGCCAAAGCCAAAGAGTGTTATGAAAAAGCTTTGAAAATTCGAAAAATATCACTTGGTCCTGAACATGTTGATGTAGCTACGACTTTAAACAATCTTGGTAATGTGTACCATCATACTAAAGAATATGCCAAAGCCAAAGAGTGTTATGAAAAAGCGTTAGAAATTCGAAAAATATCACTTGGTCCTGAGCATGTTGATGTAGCTTCGACTTTACACAATCTTGGTAATGTGTACTACCATACTAAAGAATATGTCCAAGCCAAAGAGTGTTATGAAAAAGCGTTGGTAATTCGAAAAATATCACTTAATCCTGAACATGTTGATGTAGCTACGACTTTAAACAATCTTGGTAATGTGTATTATGAGACCAACAAATATGCCAAGGCAAAAGATTGTTATGACAAAGCGTTGGAAATTCGACAAAAATCACTTAATCCTGAACATGTTGATGTAGCTACGACTTTAAACTGTCTTGGTAATATGTATTATGAGAACAAAGAATATGCCAAAGCCAAAGAGTGTTATGAAAAAGCGCTAGAAATTCGACAAAAATCAATTTGTCCTGAACATGTTGATGTAGCTACGACCTTAAACAATCTTGGTGATGTGCATTATAAGACTAACAAATATGCCAAAGCCAAAGAGTGTTATGAAAAAGCGTTGGAAATTCGACAAAAATCACTTGGTCTTGAGCATGTTGATGTAGCTACGACTTTAAACAGTCTTGGTAATGTGTATTATAATATCAACAAATATGCCAAAGCCAAAGAATGTTATGAAAAGCTTTGAAAATTCGACAAAACTCCTTGGTTCTGAACATGTTGATGTAGCTACGATATTAAACAATCTTGGTAATGTGTATTATAAGATAAACAAACATACCAAAGCCGAAAAAGGTATGAAAAAGCGTTAAAATTCAAGAAAAATCACTAGGTCAGGAACATGTTGATGTAGCTACCACTTTAAACAGTCTTGGTAATGTGTATTATGATACCAACAAATATTCCAAAGCCAAAGAGTGTTATAAAAAAGCGTTGGAAATTAGACAAAAGTCACTTGGTCCTGAACATGTTGGTGTAGCTTCGACTTTAAACTATCTTGGTAATGTGTATTATAAGACCAGCAAATATGCCAAAGCTAAAGAGTGTTATGAAAAAGCGTTGAAAATGCGACAAAAATCACTTGGTCCTGAGCATGTTGATGTAGCTATGACTTTACACGAGCTTGGCAATGTGTACGATAGTACTAAAGAATATGACAAAGCCAAAGAGTGTTATGAAAACGCGTTGGAAATTCGACAAAAATCACTTGGTCTTGAACATGTTGATGTAGCTTCGACTTTAAACAATCTTGGTAATATGTATTATGAGAACAACGAATATGCCAAAGCCAAAGAGTGTTATGAAAAAGCGCTAGAAATTCGACAAAAATCAATTTGTCCTGAACATGTTGATGTAGCTACGACCTTAAACAATCTTGGTGATGTGCATTATAAGACTAACAAATATGCCAAAGCCAAAGAGTGTTATGAAAAAGCGTTGGAAATTCGACAAAAATCACTTGGTCCTGAGCATGTTGATGTAGCTACGACTTTAAACAATCTTGGATGTGCATTATAAGACTAACAAATATGCCAAAGCCAAAGAGTGTTATGAAAAAGCGTTGGAAATTCGACAAAAATCACTTGGTCCTGAGCATGTTGATGTAGCTACGACTTTAAACAGTCTTGGTAATGTGTATTATAATATCAACAAATATGCCAAAGCCAAAGAATGTTATGAGAAAGCTTTGAAAATTCGACAAAAACTCCTTGGTTCTGAAGATGTTGATGTATCTACGATATTAAACAATCTTGGTAATGTGTATTATAAGACAAACAAACATACCAAAGCCGAAAAAAGGTATGAAAAAGCGTTAAAAATTCAA